GTTGATTAACACATATTTTCTATGCTATATGTGTTATATACTGTATGCTTACAATAAAGGAAGCTACAGAAGAGAAAATGTTATTAAGAAAATTATAAGGATGGAAAAATTTATTCACCATTAAGTGGAAGTGGATCATCGTAAAGGTCTTCATCCTCATTGTCTTCATTTTGAGTAGGCTGAGGAGGAGGAGAAAGAGAAGTTGATCTTGCTTCCTCAGGGGTGGCAGATGTGAAAGAAAATCTGCATATTGGGTCAACCATACAAGTAAAACTGGGAAAATCTGAATAAGATCAGTGGATTATGTCAATGTCAATATCCTGGTTATGATAGTGTACTATAGTTTTGCAAAAAGTCACCATTGAGGGAAACTGGGTAAATGGTACATAGAATATCTTTGCAAGTGCAAGTGTAAGCACAAAGATCCAATTATTGAGACAAACAAGAGTTGCCAAGGAACTTTTTTAATATGAAAGATGTCTGTCGGGAGAGCAGGGAATCAGGCCTCAGATTGGACTCTCCAACTAATGGAGATTAGCGCCTTTACAAGGAGGGGATACATGCATTGGAGCAGTAAGTGGTATAATTAACAAGGGGCTGTGTGCATGGGGCGGGTCTTGGGGGATAATGTGTCTTGGTGTCAGAAAGTCTGCCTAGGGGCCTTCAGAATCTCAGTTCCTTGTCTTGCAGAAATTCTGCCATTTCTGGGAAACAGAAAAGTTAAGTAGTTAGTTAAAAGTTTCAGGGTTCTGGTCGTCATGCTCTAGTGGCCTGAGAATCTAAAACATGAGAGGGGGAGGATTATAAAGAACATATAGGTGTCATAGAGCCAGTTACAATCTATTAATATAATGATCTCAATAAATATTCCAATTTTTAAAATGTGACTTGAGTTTCTAAGACAGTCCCTGTGTTTCCTCGTCAGTGAGGACTTCTGATGCCTGGAGAGGAAGGTTGCAGTGGAGAACACATCCTCAAAACATAGATGAGAACATTGGAATGCCAAAGATTATGTGACAATTTATGGGTGGCACACAGCCAAGAACGGAAGCCATGGCACTGGACACCCATTCCTTCGTTCAACAAATATTAATATTTATTGAGTGTTTACAATGCCTCAAAAACTGTTCTAGAATCTAAGCTTCGGCGTTGTAACCGTAAACAGTACTCAGTGCAGTCCTTTCTCTTGTAGGAAAGACCACAGCTGGAGGCGGTGAAAATGGTCCCCCCCTAATCCTCAGTAAAAGAAACTCCAGGGTCATTGGCCGTCGGCATGAAGGCAAGGACAGAAACGGAGGAGGATAATGAGACCAAACAGGTTTGACCCACTGCCCCAGGACTGGCAAAGACACCAAACCTCCTAATGCTCTTCCTAGGAGGAAGGAGCAGTGTTTGGCTTGGGCAAGAGGCCAGGAGCGTAACAGGATGAACACGGGCTGCCTGGGCGCGAGGCTGGTTTAGGGGATGCTGTCAGGTCAGGGAGCTCGCGTTGTCCAAGGCTGACATGTGGAAAACTACAACTCCCAGCGTGCCGGGCGGCCCGCCGAGCCGGGCGATCATGTGATCCATGCTCACGTGTCTCTGCTGCCGGCTCGGGAATGAACCACCGAAGGTAGGTGGTAGGAGGTAGACTTGGTGGGGAGTGGACACGTTAGGTCCCCGGGGTCCCTGGAGCCCCGCCAACCACCGCGGCAGAGCTCGGGCTCTTTCCCTGCAGGGTTCCGGAATCCGGCGTCCTCGCCCTACGCCCGCCCTCTGTTGCGCCGGCTCCGTCACGCCTTAGGCCGGCCAGTCACCACTTAATACTAGGCCGGGATCGAGTTCCAGAGCCCCTCCCCAGTTTACTGCACAGTTGTACACCCGCCTTGTGTCAGGCCTGAGAATCAATCCCCCGGTGCCCCGACCCGGGTGCACCCTGGCACCCCTCCCAATTCAGCCTACGTCTTGTTTTTCAGAGCTCCAGCCGCAAGCTGGACTGGGAACCCACTCCAGTTGGGATCTGAGGGGCCTGCATCTGTGGCCTGAGCATATGGGCACCAGGCTTCTTGTTCTGGCTCTGCCAACTAGCCGCATTGACCTTAGTCTAACTTTCCCACCGTGGGCCTGTTGCCCTGTCTGATCTGGCACTCCTTTCTACAAATTAACGTCAGAGCTGCCCAGTTGCCCACACTCTGCTGAACCAGCACGGAAACAGCCCAAACTCTTCTCTCTGCTGACAGCAGGTTTTAGGTTATGTCTTGAGAAAGAAGAAATTGGAGGCCAAAGGGGGAAGTGAGGAGAATCAGATCCCAGACGTTTGGGGAGAAGGAGCACTGCAGCCCCACCATAGCCAATTAGGTAGAAAGGGCAGGTAAGCTGGGAACAATGGGGTCAAGTAGTTTGGATGTGAGGGGAGAGATCTTGGAGCAATGCAGAGAGCCTGAAAGAGGTGGGACCACTCTGCCTCTGAGTTCCATAAGGACCCCCACCTGGGCTCTCTTGTGGGTGGCAGAAGAGTCTGGGCCCGATGGTGTAGGACAGGGGCAAGGGTGCCAAAGGGAAGCGTGCCGCGTGGAGAGTCAGGAAGCCACACCAAGCTGTATGACCTGGAATGAGTCACTCTGTAGATATCTGTAATGTGAGCAGGGTGGAGGTGGTCTTGCAACTCTGGTGGCATCCACTTTGCAGGACTCTCTCTTAATCTATGCTGGGAGTCCCAAAACTCTGCCTTCACTGCTTTGATTTTTGCTGAGTTGTTGGCCTGATGACAGGATGCGTAAGAGGAAGAGCCCTGCAGCATCTGACTGATCTTTCTGGATTTGGAGCCAACAGAGGAATGTTTCCTCTGGAGCTGTGTCCCTTGGTTCCATGCTTGATGACAGATGTCTGAGGGCACCTGAACTTTCCCTTTCCTTCTCATTAGTATACCATTCCAGCCCGAGGGGCTTTGGTAGCCATTCTACACCTCCAGGGGCTGAGGGCATCAGAGGGCATGGCTCTATGAGGAACAGTGGTTAGACGAGTCATTATGGCTGAATCCAGCCAGTTCCCTTCTTTTCTCTGTGGGCTATAAAGACCAAACCAGGGAGGGATGAGTAGGGAATAAAAGAGAGTTTCATGTGAATACCCTGGATTGGGACTCAGGAATGATGAGACTCTGGGGAAAGGAGTCTTTGGCAGATTTCACCAGCCTGGGTGGTAACCAGCCAATAGCAGCCTCTGGGGAAGGCTGCTCTTGGCTTCTTACTACCCCATCAGCCCCCACCTTTGTAATCTGGCCTTCATGTCACTCTTCCTCCCGTCAGCTATCCCAGTGCCTTTGTGCCCGTTGTTACCTCCTGGCCAATGGTACCAGGCCTTGATTTTTGATCAGTGTTCTACTCTCTGCTTGTTTAGAGCTGAAGATTCTTGGGCAATGTGGGAAGGGGAATTTTCAAAAATAACAGTAGCAGTGACCATTTATTGAGTGCTAAACCATTATTAATATTAACCCACTCCTCACAGGAACTTAACGATGTAAAGGCTTAGAAAGGTGAAATGACTTGCCCAGGGTCACACAGCTAGGAAGTGGAGGGGTCAGCATTCTGACTTTAGAGTCTAATCCGAGACCCAGTCCCACCAGCCCTCCCTGTTCAGGGCTGCACTTGATCTGGGGGTGGACTTGGTTCTTTAAGACCATCACTTTCTTCAGAGTCTCAGACTTAACCTTGAGAACACTGAAGGTAATTTTCAGGGCCGGGCTCCTCAGAGCCTCTTAAGATTCTGGGAAGAAGAAACTTCTTCCCAGTTTTCGATAAAGAGGACCAAGGCCAAAGGAAAAACGGCAGCTCAACTGTGTTTACCCAGAGAGTGAAGAGAATCAATCAGGTGATATGCCTGTATCTGAGCTCAGCTGTGCCAAAGGTACAGTCTTGGGCCCAAAGGTAGAACAAATACAAACGAATGGATGCCCCTGGGGTCAGACAGGCCTGGCTTTACCACTGACTGCCATGTGACCCAGGGGAGAGTGCTTAACCTGTCTGGGATTCAATTTCCTCTTTGGTAAAATGGTGATTGTCATCATCTGCCTTTTCGGACTACATTGAGGATTAAGGTAAAGCATTCCATGGCTGCAATGATGGTGGTTGATAGTAACAATAAACATTGCACATTTGGCTTCAGAGCCTTGTAATCTAACCCAGGAGAATAAGCCAAGTGCCCATGAAATGCTAGCACGTGAGGGAATGTGGGGAGGAAACATCCTGAGTCGGGGTAGGTTCCTGGGTGGCTCCAGGAAGAGCTCAGGGAGTGTCTAGGAAATGAGGGAGGGATGGGACCTGAAAAGGTGGCTGGCAAAGTGGCTGGGAGCATTCCAGGCACGGAATTGATAATTGTTTTCCTGAATACACACACATACATGACAGGCATGGGGGGCTTATCACATGGGAGAAGACAGGTGGGACAAGAGTGAGACATGGCTTAAATTTTGAACGGCCTTGAAAGCTGCACAGAATTTAGACTCTAGGCCAGAGAGAGGCATGCTGAACTGTAATATGTTGAATCACCGTTCTTGGTAAGGGCTCCTCTGGGGACCGTGTGGTGTGGAAACAGGCCAGGAAGCCAGACAGATCTGGATCTAGATCCTGCCCTTCAACTTGCTAATATGTGACCCTGGGACAGTGATTTGATGTCTCTAAACCTTGTGACCATGAGGCTGTCATAAGGATTGAATGAGATAAGATAGATCCATGACGCACCTGCCCAGTGCATGGCCTTTCTCTAGTGCTGACGTGTGTTAGTACTCCTCTTTTTTATGTTCACATCTAAATGACCCTACGGGTCTGTAAGCCTAAAGCAAGCAAGACTTGCACGTGACATATTCCTGTCCCTGCCTCCCCACGCTGCCGCACCCAGTGCAGTGTTCTGCACAGAGGCACACCTGGGTTTGAATCCTAGCCATGTGATCTTGGGAGAGTTGTTTCGCCTTTGCCCCAGTTTCCCTGTCTCAGGATAACAGTAGTACCTGCTTTTGTCCCATCTAGGTTGAGAAGAGTCCTCTGAGGATAACAGCCCCGAACAGGCGGGTGTTCCCTTCACTGCCCGGGGGATGTGTTCTTGAGGCAGAACCCACAGACCACACAGGAAGAGGGCTCTCGGGGCCATGGCGCAGCTCAGCATCAACAGTGACCATGGCGAGTGGGGCTTGAGCACAGATGCTGGGGAACGGGCCCGGCTGCTGCAGAGTCCCTGTGTGGACACAGCCCCCAAGAGTGAGTGGGAGCCCCCTCCTGGGGGTCCGGGCAGAGGCACCACTTCCACGCTTGGGGCTGTCTTCATTGTCGTCAACGCCTGCCTGGGCGCGGGGCTGCTCAACTTTCCAGCAGCCTTCAGCACTGCCGGGGGCGTGGCAGCTGGCATCGCACTGCAGATGGTGAGTGCGCTGGCCGGGAGGGCAAAGGTGTGGTTGAGGTGGGCTCTGTGCCTCAAAAGGGAGACTTTGGGTCAGGGATGGCCAGTAGGTGACACATGCACCACTCTCCCCTCATGGCAGACATTACTAATCTATTCCAGCGTTCTTTCCTCTGAGCCCAGACAAGGCTTCAGAAGTCTTCCCAACAATCAGAGAAATTTGAACATCAACTGCATATCTAATTTTGTAGATGTTACATTGATTTTGTGGTTATGTTTAAAAGAGGGCCTTTATCTTTCAGAACTACATACTGAAATACTTACTAATGAAATGATGTGATAGCTTGTACTGGCTTCAGAATAATCCACAGTGGGAAGGGGAGTATGATGAAACAAGATTGGCCATGAATTGATCATATTTGAAGCTCAGTGATGGATAATGGCGGTACTGTTCTCCCTACTTGTGTATGTTTGAAATTTTTCACCAAACATTTTATTTTCACAGAAAATCTCAATTCAGCAACCTCTAGCAATCTGTTAAAATTGCCCCGTGAGATTTTCCAGGCCTGCTTTGGGCACTGGCCTGGTAAATGCTGAGCAGGCCTAGCATGCCCTCTCTTGCCAGGCCTTTCCCACATGCTCTGGTTCTGCACCCCTGCAGGGCATGCTGATTTTCATCATCAGTGGCCTCGTCATCCTGGCCTACTGCTCCCAGGCCAGCAACGAGAGGACCTACCAGGAGGTGGTGTGGGCTGTGTGCGGCAAGCTGACAGGTGTGCTGTGCGAGGTGACCATCGCCATATACACCTTTGGCACCTGCATTGCCTTCCTCATCATCATCGGGGACCAACAGGACAAGAGTGAGGTTCCCCCTCAGTACCTACTTCTCCCCCTCGCCCTGGGGATCCTGTGGTGGAGGGAAAAGGCGCTAAACACCTGCCTAGGACATACTCAGGCCCATCATTCACCTGGGAGTGCTCCCTCCAGGCTGCTGGGCTCATTATATGGAGGGAGGTCCTGGGGCCCAGCAGAGCAGAACGGTCACACCCTGTGGTGGCCTGACATGACATTCCCTCCTTCTTCCCCGTGCAGTTATAGCTGTGATGGCCAAGGAGCCTGAGGGGGCCAGCGGCAGCCCCTGGTACACAGACCGCAAGTTCACCATCAGCCTCACTGCCTTCCTCTTCATCCTGCCCCTGTCCATCCCCAGGGAGATCGGCTTCCAGAAGTATGCCAGGTTTGGAGCAGGTTCCCAGCCCAAGGCAGTGAGAAGCTCTGGTCCTGGGCAGATGGAGACCCAGGGCTACTGGGGAACACTGCTCCTCCATGCCACCTCTCCTTCTCAGGGAGCAAGAGTGGGCAAGGCAGGGTAGGCCAGGGCTTGCAGGGCTTCAGGCAGCAGACCTTCCTTTTCTGTCTCCATCAAGGGAGACAGCAACCCTTTCATCAGTGAGAGATTCAGTTCTAAGTGTCCTTGTCAAAGAAGGGATGGGTGGTGGCTGGGAGTATGAAGGCAGCCTGCTGGCCGGGGCCTTGGCTTTCCCTGGGAGGATGGGATCTGGATCACCTGAGATTGTCAGCCTGGCAGCATCTTCCACGCAGCCTGGCACGAAGGGAGGAAACTGGCTTCCTGGCTCAGTGTCTGGAAAGCTGTGGGATTCTAGACTGTCCCCAGTCTGTAAGTGAAGGGGTCTCCCTCAGCTGTCTCCATGGCTCCCTTGAATGTTGACATTCCAGTATTTATACTCTGAACCCTCTTACCTCTGGCATCTCCTAGTTCTCAAAGGCCAGGCTCAGAGGATGGCCTACTCACCACACTCACCAAGGCTAGGCTGCTCTGATCAAAGTCCCAAGTGTGCTTTGGAGCCCAGGTCTCTGCCATGGTCTCTGAGCCATGGAACTGAACCAAGGCATTTCCCAATGTGCAGAAATGCCCATCAGGTTCCTTACTGGCTCCCTCCTAGCTGTGGCTGTTTTCTCTGAAACTTATTTCTCAGACATTTCCTGAGTCTTTGCTTGGCATCGTCCGCAGTTCATACAGTGGACACTTGTCACTAGAGCTGAGTGTGGATGTCCCTGGGAAGGGAATCAAAGAAGGGGCAGCTGGTATGGGGAGGAGGACACCCAATCTCTGCTTCCCGGCAGCTTCCTGAGTGTCGTGGGTACCTGGTACGTCACTGCCATCATTATCATCAAATACATCTGGCCAGATAAAGAGATGACCCCAGGGGACATCCTGACCAGGTAAGTGAGGGCCCCTTGGGAGATGTATAGGATAGAAGCTGCCACTTGGCCCCCAGCAAGTGTTAGTCAGGCATCAAAAGGCCACACAAGGGGCCAGGGACCATGGCTCATGCCTGTAATACTAGCACTCTGGGAGGCCAAGGTATGAGGATCGCTTGAGTTCAAGACCAGCCTGAGCAAGAGCAAGACCCTGTCTCCACTAAAAATAGAAAAATTAGCCAGGTGTGGTGGTGTGTGCCTGTAGTCCCAGCTACTCGGGAGGTTGAGGCAGGAAGATGGCTTGAGACCAGGAGTTTGAGGTTGCCGTGAGCTAGGCTGACGACACTCTAGCCCTGGCAACAGAGTTGAGACTCCATCTCAAAAAAAAAAAAAAAACCACACAGGTGCTCTTCCCAAGGCTTATTAGCTCCCTGGGGCTGACTCATTGGTCATTATAGGAAGGAGGCAAAAGTTCCTGATCTTTTGTTACTGGAGGGAAGAGTGAGAACCAGAGACAGGAGAGACTTTGCCACCAACATCCAACAGATGAGCCAGTGCAAGACTAGGCCTCAGGTTATGGAAACCACTAGGGTAGAAATGCACATTTTTCCAATTTGTGCTTATCTGTAAATTCTGTATCTTCCATGTGTGCGTAAGTTTGTTTTATGTTTTCTTTTTAAGTTTGCTTTTTTTTTTTGAAAGGAACAAACCAGAAAAGCAAAAGGGCTTTTCTGAGCCTCAGTTTACTGGCCTGTGAAATGGAGATGTCTCCTCTCCCCGTTCTCAGACTTCTGTGGGTGGAACATGTAGAATGCTGGTCACTAGAGGCCGTGGTGGGATGAATAAAGAGTAAGGGTGTGGGGTCAGTTGGTGGCTCTGAGGGGTTCCCAGGCAGCAGCACCTTGTGCGTTTGTCCACAGGCCGGCTTCCTGGATGGCCGTGTTCAATGCCATGCCCACCATCTGCTTCGGATTTCAGGTGCCAGTTGTGAGGTCCCTGCTGTCCCCTTAGCTCATCCCCCACCCTGGGATGGAACCCACGTTACAGGCAGGATGGGGGAAATCGTGGGTGGAAGGATGGAGCGGGAGCCCAGAACTTGCCCCTTGTCTGTGGGGCCTTTGTCCCATGGTACCTGCCTCTAGAAACTGAGGGTGAGGTCACTTCCCCACCATGACTGTGCTCTTTACCTGGACAGTGCCACGTGAGCAGTGTGCCCGTCTTCAACAGCATGCAACGGCCCGAGGTGAAGACCTGGGGCGGGGTGGTGACAGCCGCCATGGTCATAGCCCTTGCTGTCTACATGGGTACAGGTGAGTGCTCTCCTCCCCCTCAAGTGCCCAAGTACTCTGGCCCAGCTTTCCTGGGGCCAGACCTGCACTCCCAGCAGGACAAACACTTCTGTAGACATTGGCTTGAAATAGGGCTTCCTGAGACCTCCTCCTGCCAAGATGAGAAAGGTGTATTCATCTATTCATCGATTCATCAGTTCTAAATTGGTGCCTAGGAAGTACCAGGAACTGTTATCAGCATGGAGGATTCCATGGAGAAAAGTAGACCTGGTCCTGCCCTCGTGGAGTTAGCAGTCTCATTGGAGAGACAGTTGTGCAAAAGTAACTAGGGAATCGATAAAGAATTGCAGACAGCAGAGAACGCCATGACAACAGTGAAACAGGAAAGATGTGAATGGGACCAGGCAAGCGGGGTGGCTCTTAGAAGGTTCCTCTCTCAGGAGGCCCAAAGGATGAGAAAGAGCCAGACTATGAAGAGCTGTGGGAGATGTGTTCTAGAATAGGAACCACAGAACTCCATGTCCCTGAGGCAGGGACAAACAGGGGGTCTGTGTAGCTGGAGTGGAGTGAGTTGGAGGCAGGTGGCAGACACTAAGGCCAGATAGGTAACGGGGGCCAGATCCTATTTGGCCTTGAGGGCTGTTGGGAGCCAGAGAGGAAAAGTTTTAAGCAAGGGAGTGGCTCAGGTAAAGACGGCTCTGATTGCTCTGGGCAGATGGTTGAGATGAGTGAGCAGGACTGGGAGACCCAGCAAGAATAGCCCTGTCGTTCCTTCCATGGATGGGCTGCAGTGGCTGCCTGGGCCAGTACTGTTCTAGCCTCCGAAGACACAGCCCAGAACAAAAGAGACAAACAAGCAAAGTCCCTATTTTCCTGGGACTTGTGTTCTGGCTGGGGAGACAGTAAGCCAAAAAAAAAAAAAAAATTAGAGGTGTATGTTAGAAAGAAGATAGAACAGGGTGATATGAGCGAGTGCTGGGATGAGAGTCATTGTAGATGGGCTGGCAAGAATTGTCTTCCGAGGAGGGACATCTGAACTGAGACTTGAATGATGAGGAGATGGCAGCATGAAGATCGGGGCAGATGGAAGGGTTGGGGCAGATGGAAGGGTTAGTGCAGAGGCTCCAAGGTGGGAACACACTGGGCAAGTTCAAGATCAGAAGGATGTGGGTGGGAGGGCTTCCAGCAAGGAGGGGATATGAGAAGTCTGGGTGGGAGGCATCTGATCCCAGCCCCACAACCCCTCCAAGCCTCAGTCTAAGCTTTCAGAGCTGCTGCAGCATCCTTCCCAGCTGATGTCACAGGAGTGGACAGTCTACCCCCTACCCTCCCAGGGTTGCCCTGACACAGCCCCCTTGTCCCTGCCCACAGGCATCTGTGGGTTCCTGACCTTTGGAGCTGCTGTGGACCCTGACGTGCTTCTGTCCTACCCCTCAGAGGACATGGCTGTGGCAGTTGCCCGAGCCTTCATCATCCTGAGCGTGCTCACCTCCTACCCCATCCTGCACTTCTGTGGGCGGTAAGCACCCTCCCGTCCCTCTGGGGCCCTCCTGCTCCACAGGGCCCCTCAGCCCCTGTGAGCCCTTTCAACATAGGACTTTGGCCTTGCGTGGAGCCCATTCTGTAGAAGGAGAAACTGAAGCCAGTAGAAAAGCATCAGTGCCTAGGATGGCCACCCCAGGTACTCCCCAAGCTAGGTCTCTGGAGCGCCCTTTTGCCTGGGGTCACCAAAACATTCAGTGAGCCCTCTAAGAATCTCTGTTGAGATCCTTTCCTGAGCTTTCACATGGACACCTAACTTTTTGGATACCCCAGACTGTTCCTTTTAAGGAGAATAATGTATCAGTTTCCATGTGGTGAAGCAAAGCACTAAGCCCTCCACATTCACCATCTCATCTGGTTCCCACAGCAACCAACCAGAGTGCCAGTAGACCCATTTTTCAGAAGAGGAAAGTGAGACTCAGGATTAGGGCCTTACCCACAATCTACCTAGTTAGGGATCCGGCTCCCGTGAGCTAGAGGTGGGGTCCGTTAGCAGGGGCGTCTCTGAGCCCCTCTCTGTGTGGGCAGGGCGGTGGTTGAAGGCCTGTGGCTGCGCTACCAGGGGATGCCAGTGGAGGAGGACGTGGGGCGGGAGCGGCGGCGGCGAGTGCTGCAGACGCTGGTCTGGTTCCTGCTCACCCTGCTGCTGGCGCTCTTCATCCCTGACATCGGCAAGGTCATCTCAGTCATCGGGGGCCTGGCTGCCTGCTTCATCTTCGTCTTCCCAGGTACAGGCCCCTGGCGCCCCCTCTCCCAGCCCCAAGGCACAGTCTCCCTGGCCCCCGCTCCCCACTGGCTCAAAACCTGCCAGGGAGAGTAACTGCCAGCATTTATTAATCACCCACCTTAGCTGTATGGTAGCCCCTGTCCAAGCAGTTGTCTCCTGAGCGAGTTACAGACTTGCTTAAAGGCTAACAGATTCAACTAGTAAGTAAACCTCTTCCAACCCAAGGCTGTCTGGGTCCAGAGTCTATATTCTTAACCCTTCATTCAAATGTCTGTTGCTCCCTGACTGTCGAGGATCTGTCTGGCTGGTTTAGCCCATTACAGCCCAGAAGGCAATGGGGTCTGGTGGTGGCACCCTGGCACGCACATCCGGAGACCTGAGTTCTAGACATGGGTCTGTGCCAGATCCCTGGGAAATTGTCCTGTCTGCCCAACCATGAGTTCCGCCCATACCCAGCTTATCTAGAAGGCCACTTTGAAAGCCCTGACCACTTTGCTTAGAGCAAGGGAGCCACATCTGCTCACAAGTGCACTGGGAAGAGCCCTGGGGTTGGGCTACCACTGAGTCACCATTCAGTGCTGTCCCTTTAGTTTCGAGTCTCGTATGCAACCTTGTCAGATGCTGGCTATCCTGGGGGAACAGATGCCAGGCCTCCCAGCCAGACGTAGAATGGGCGGCAGAGATGGACTGTCCAGAAAAGTAAACACAGGCCTTTCTGTATCCACCACCACTGCCTCTTGGTAAGGGGGGAGGCTGGGCCTGAGGGAGGGAGTCCCCTTCCCCTACAGACTCTCAGGGCCACCTCTTTCCTAACAGGGCTGTGCCTCATTCAGGCCAAACTCTCTGAAATGGAGGAAGTCAAACCAGCCAGGTAAAGCAGGGCCCAGCCCATGGTCCTCCTGGGGAGATGGTGGATTGGGGAATGGCTTTGGAGGGACCTTAATAAAGGCAGGAGTCAAGAGACTTGTGTACTTAAAAATCATGGGGTTTTTAATACTGTTTTTAAAATGGGTAATGTGCTAGTTTTAATAATTCAAACACTGTTGAAGGGCTTAAGAGAAGAGTGGAAGTCCCCTTCCCCCATAGGACACTCCCCACCACACCCCTTCTCCAGAGATAGCTACGTGTTAGCAGTGTGCACTGTGCCCCCAGACTGCTTTTGGGCACGTGTACATTTCTGTGTATACATAGCTATGTGTGTGTATATACAAATATGGGGCTTTTGTAAACAGTTTTGTTTTCTCAAAAATGGTTTCATGCCAGACACACTTTTCTGTGACTTACATTTTTTCACTTCTCCATGTCAGCACAAGATTTGCTTCTTCCTTTTACAAGTGGCTGCAGAATATTCTGTTGTGTGAATGTGTCCTGAATGTGGATACTCTTAAACATCTTGACACACCTATTCAAGGATTTTGGTAGGATCAATTCTTAGAAGAAAACTGCTGGGTCACAGAGCATCTTTGTTTTACTTTGTTTTTTTGTTTGTTTGTTTTTTAATTTTTTTAGAGACAGGGTCTTACTCTGTTGCCCAAGCTGGATGCAGTGACCTGATCATAACTCACTGTAACCTCGAATAACTGGGCTGAAGCCATCCTCCTGCCTCAGCCCATGCCCAGCTAATTTTTAAATTTTTTGTAGAGATGGTTTCTTGCTGTGTTGCCCAGGCTGGCCTCAAACGCCTTGCCTGAAGCCATCCTTCTGCGTCAGCCTCCCAAAGTGCTGGGATTATATGCATGAACCACCATGTTCATTTTACTTTGGCTCATGGTTCCAGTTACCCTCCAAAAAGGCAGTGCCAGTTAGAGTTGCAGCAGCAGTAAATAAGAGTGCCCTTTTCTCCACACTCCTGCCAGCACTGTATATAACAGCCTTTCTAAGTTTTGTGAGTCTGATGGATGAGAAATATTATATTGTTTTAATATGCAGATTTCCCTGAGCAGTGGAGAGGTTGAGAACAGGTTGCATGCTTTAAACAAAAATTATTACATCATGATTCTTGTTCATTATAGAAAACTTAAAAAATACAAACATGTCTAGAGAAGAAAATAGGGCATGGTGACTCACACTTGTAATCCTGGTACTTTGGGAGGCTGAGGCGGGAGGATCACTTGAGCCCAGGAGTTTGAGACAGCAACAGAGCCAGACACCGTCTCTACAAAAAATAGAAAAATTAGCCAGGCGAGGTGGCGCATGCCTATAGTCCCAGCTACTTGGGAGACTGAGGCAGGAGGCTGAGGCAGGAGGATCGTTTGAGCCCAGGAGTTTGAGGTTGCAGTGAGCTATGATGATGCCTCTGCACTTTAGCTCAGGCAAGAGAGCAAGACCTTGTCTCAAACAAATTAAATAAATAAATAAATGTAAAAATTGTAGCTGGGCACAGTGGCTCAAGCCTGTAATCCCAGCTTCTTAAGAGGCTGAGGCAGGAGGATCACTTGAGCCCAGGAGTTCGAGATTACAATGAACTATGATTGCAACACTGCACTCCAGCCTGGGCAACAGAGCAAGACTCTGTCTCTTAACTATATATACATATTAAATGAAAAATAAATTTCCCTTAATCTCAATACCCTGTTGTTCTTTTGATAGATATATTTGCAGATATCTGCTTTTTGTTTCTTTTTTTAATGAAATGGATCACATTCCATGTGACCTGTTTTTTTCCTGAACATCTTTCCATCAGGAGACCTGCATTGTAGTGCTGGTCTTGCCCTTGGTGTGTTGTGACCAGTCAGTTTATCCCATTAGGTCTTGGTCCCCTTACCTATGGACTAGGGATAATACACCTTGCCCTACTGCGTTTATATGGAAAATTCATTGGGAAATAGGAAGTGCTCTACCAGCAGGAGAAGCAGTATAATTACAATGATTAACTGTTATATACATTGAAGTCTGCAGAGTCATGGGATGGGATGACTGATCAGGCCCCTCTCATCCTCTGCCCTACAGCTGGTGGGTGCTGGTCAGCTATGGAGTCCTCTTGGTCACCCTGGGAGCCTTCATCTTCGGCCAGACCACAGCCAACGCCATCTTTGTGGATCTCTTGGCATAACCACTGCCTTCCAGGGAACACATGGCCTTTGCCATTAGACCTAGGAACACACCTCTTAAAGCTGTGAGGCCACTCTGTGTCCACCATCATTCCAACTGGTAGGATGACATCTGGACATCCTTTTCCAGGGACAGTTCTGGGGCAAAATCAGGCCCCACACCTCTGGACAGCTCAAACCCAGCTCCCTTCCTGCTCCCCCAGTCCTGGCAGTGCCATGGATGGTGGCAGGAGTTCTCATGTCACAGAGGAACCTTCTTCCTCTCCCAGCTCTCAGCTTCTCCATGCCTAGAACCCATGGTGAAGAGGCCAGTGGGTCTCAGAAGAAGGAACCCAGTGTGACTTCCTTCTGGAGAAAGACTATGGACAAAAGGCCACCAACCTCCACAAAGCAGCCCGTCCGGAGTAGGGGCCATGCTCACTATCCAGGGGTCTACAGTGGCTTCCTCTGGCAACTTCCAAAGGTAGCACTACAGTCATACAAATACTCAGAGGCAGGTGGATTCAGGCCTTGTCTGCTCCCTCCTTTCTCTTTCTCCAAACCTGATGATCCAGGCTGGGCACCCCTGTCCTCCATCCCCAGGCATCACCAAGTCTAATGTTTACAAACGGTGCCAGCCTGGCTCTGAAGCCAGGGGCCGTCCCATGCCACGGTGCTGAGTATTCCTCCATTAGCTTTCCCCATGGAGTTGAGGGGGGAGTCTGCTTTTCTCTCTCAGATTCCAGATGGACCCCTCTTTGCAGAGGCTCCAGGGTGGGTGAGGGAGAAGACTGGGAACCTTTCAGACCCTCCATGCAGGCTGGGCTGGCCAGGATCAAGGTGAACCTCTCTGACACCTTTTTCAGTAATTGTTTCTCTTCTCCCTGCCTCTCCTCTTCTCCCTCCCCTGCCAATTCTAGCCTGATAACTCAGAGAGAAGAAAGGCAGCCAGGTTGTCACTGATGGGCACAACATTTGAGCCTGTCACACTGGCCTGGAAGTTCCCCTTCCAGTCTGAATCTTGTCTGTTCCCTTCCTCTCCCTCTTCGCTCCCTACGCCATTGCTCTGCGTAGCTCAGTCTCTCCCACTCACATAAGTTGCGGGGTGGGGATGCCAAACCCTCTCTCACAACTTCCTCAGCAACATATGTCTATCAGTCCTGGCCTTGGCGGCCTGTCAGTCACACTGAGGTCATACCTGGATTGTTACCCCAGGCAGGGTGGGGAGGTACACTGCCCCCTCCATGCCCCCTTTTGACTGTCTCAGCCCCTCAACTGGCACCGTTCACTTTGGCCATTCCGAGGCACCAATCCGGCTTCCTCCTCCACCTGGAACCCTCAGCATTTTCATGGCCCCTCCTGCCCAAAATCTCTGTAGTGGGGGTGCCCAGCAGCCCACTGCTCAGGGAAGAGGCTGGCTGGAGGCTGGCTAGGCTTCTACTCAGTCCCCAGATTGGATGAACTGCCTTTGCTCACGTCCCCTCTTGGTGCCTGATCTTCTCTGCCCCGGGGGCCAGCCCCACTCTGCTGTTCTGCACAGCACCCGGCCCTGCCAGCACCCTTCCCTGACAAGGCTAGGAGGGCAGCCCAGGCAGCAGGACTGCACAGCCTCCCAGTGCTGTTTCGGGATGGGGGCAGGGGGATATAAGAGGAATCATTGCACAGAGACAGACTATCAGGAAAAGGAGCTGGAATCTTGCCTCTTGGTCTAACCTCAGGAGCTACCCCCCATCCTTTCCTCTGTCCTCTCTGTCAGGGTATTTCACTGTTTCTTTTCTACTTGTGCACACGAAGAAAAGGGAAGATGGTTAATAAAAGGGACTTGTGCTGCTGAGCTGCGTCCCTTGTGTCTGGTGGCTGGGGCAGGACACTGCCAGGAGGAAGAAAGGCTGGGGTGGGAGGTATAGATGGCACATCATCCTCTCTGAGCTCCATTTGAGGAACGACACCACCAGGGTCCCTCTACCAAGCAGGAACCTGCAAATGGCTCTTGCCACCCCAGCTTCTCCTGCATCCCATCAGTCCTCCCCCACTGACTTGCGAATATATCTCGGTCTCCAGTCTTCCTACCTCTGCCTTTACTCAAGCCTTCTCTGTCTTTCCTGCACCTTTGTGGCCTCTGACTGGCCCCCTGACCTCAAACCTTGGGTGAGCTTCAAACTCCTGAGCATCACTCTCATCTTTTCAGAGGCAGGTGTCGAGCAGGCCTCCGCCATCCTGTTTATTGCGGCCAATCAGCCGTGCTCAGTGCTGGTGAGAAAATAATGAGCAGAACAGACTCCAGCTCTACTTTCAGCCTAGTATTGGGAAGACTGATGCTAAGTAAGTAGTCACACAAATATATACTTGCAAATTGTGATAAGTGCCAAGAAGGGAAAATAGAGTGTATTATATTTGGGGCCTTGTCCAGGAGTCAAGAAAGACTTCCTGGAGGAAGTCATGTTTGAGCTGGCCTCTGGATGATGAGCAGGAATTAACTAAGGGAAGAGAGCTGGGGAGACTTTCCAAGCAGTGGGAACTGCATGTGCAAAGACCCTGAGCTGGGAGGAACATGGATTGAGGAACAAAGTGGCCAGTATAGGTAGGACATTGCCTAGGTGTGGCAGAGCAGCAGAGGTGAGACTAGGGAGTTCTAGGCAGGTCTTCAATGGCTGCCTGTTGCCCTTAGGGTCAAGTCTAACCAGCTCATCTCCCACCACACTCCCCTTCTCTGCTCCAATCATACTCCAGAGAAGATAAGCTCCCCCGCCATGCCCTATTCTGGTAGGGGAGGGACTCGCCCTCCAAGGAGGAAACACTTCAAATGGGCTTGCGGAGTAGGGTGGCTTTAGGCTTTGGGCTATGTTCACGGTTGCGTTTCACTGTCTCTGAACAGAGGGAGGGAAAGGTTACACCTATGCCAAAGGCACTCCCATGCAAACAGCCAGATTCATCCAGTCATGCATTGTACTTAAGACATCCCCAGCCTAATGTTACACACACATGTAAGCACTTAATCACTATCTGTCTCCCCCATTAGACTGTAAGCTCCATGGGAACAGTCCCACATCTTCCCTATCCACCAGGCATCTTACCCCAGCGCCTGGCACATAGTAAGCAAGTGCTCAGTAGCTTTTGAGGGCAGGGCACAGTGGCTCACATCTGTAATCCAGCACTTTGGGAGGCTGAGGCAGGAGGATTGCTTCAGCCCAGGAATTGGAAGTCACGGTGAGATATGATGATGCCAGGGCACTCTAGCCCAGGGAAGAAGTAAAATTAGCTGGGCACAGAAGTAGTCCTAGCTACTCAAGAGGTGGGAGGAGCGCTTGAGCTTGTCTCTACAAAAGTTTAACAAGCAAATGAATGAATAGGAACATTTGTTGAGTACTCATACTGGATAGCACGTTACTTGCGTCATCATTTGGACTTCACAACTCCTCTACGAAGAAGCCAAGTCTAAGATGACATAGTTTGCCCACGGTCACACAGGTCACACACAGATGATAAGATTGCAGCCAGACAGCACTCTTGCCGTGCCTGAATAAACAAGTGAGCAGAGGGCTCTTTCAGAGCCAGCCTGATGATTTCTGGCCCCAGAAGGCAAGCCTAGGACCCTACCACACTCATGCTGGCACCAACACCAGGTCTTGGAACCCTTGGGCCCTCTCGCAGCCAGTCTACTTCGGGTGATGGTAAAGTGACGGAGTACCTGCTGCTGGTGGCTCTGGGCAAGTTGCTTCACCTCTCCAGGCCTCTGTTTCTCTGTCTCTAACATGGGAAGGATAATCACTGGCCTTATTTACCTCCCAGGGCAAAGGGGAGCAGAGTAAAGAAAGCCTTTGAAAGTAACAAGTGCTTTTAACCAAAGGCCACAGGTACAAAAGAAATACACGAACTCAGCTTGTCAAGAGGACACGAGCCAGGGTGCTTCTCAAACTTTAACTTACGTAAAAGTGCATACAAATCACAAATCACCTGAAGGTCTTGGGGTACAAATTCTGACCCAGTAAGTCTGGGGTGGGGCCTGAGGTCTGCATTGCTGACACTCCCAGAGATGCCAGTGCTCTGGTGGTCCTGGGGCCACATTTTGAGTATCAGGAGCCTCGTGGATAGAGGAAAGTCTTTGGCGTCAGACAGACCTAGCTTGAATCCCAATGATGCCTCTTAAACTGTGAGAAACTCAGGGAGTTGGTTCACTTCTTCGAACCTCCTTTTCCTCAACTATAAAGTGGGGCTGGTAGGTTATCAGAACTTACTAACATTAGTGTCACTAAAGTTGGTATTCAACCCCCACTGCTATATTTGGCTAAAAAAAATGGGGGTGGTGATGCCCACCTTGTAGGTGTAGATATCACAAATCTGACAATAATGGTGTAATAATACGTGTGACATGCATGACAGCAGGGTTGGCTATTTCGCTGTACTAGAAAAAAGGAGTGTGTAACAGCAGTTTCTTCCTTTGCTCAATAGAGGTCACCTTTGCGTAATTTCTGTTATGAAAGTGGGAAGCCTGTGGCCTCAGAGAATCCAGGCCTCTGAGTCACTAGGACTCCCAATGACTCGGCTGCTTGGTACATCTGAGTGACACCCCTGTGCTAGGGCTGGGCCACCTCTAAGTCATGGCCTCCAGTCTGGTAGGGGAATCAGACGGATCTAGTAATCACAGGTACTAACTGTGTAGGTACGTGTGCTAGATGCACCTATAGGTATTACAAACCCAGATTCAGTAATAGTTCCTAGGCATGACACAATGAAAAAACATTCAGGAAGGAGGTGTGGAGGAAGGCCAAAGACTTTGCAGCCAGGAAGAAGGCAGACACCCTGTCCTCCCAACATGTCAAGTTTCCTAGGGGGACTAGGCACAAGATTCATCTGTGTAATCATTCTTCCATTAAAAACAAAATCGATACATTAGTTAAGAGAATGCTGCAGATAAACCCTGAAATCTCAGTGACTTGAGACGACAAACGTTTATATATCACCCACATCACAGTCTAATGCAGGTGGTCCTGGGCAGGCACATGGAAGGCAGGGGTGAGGCTTGGGCCTGGCTGGGGAGTGGTTGAAAATTTTCAGACAGTGTGGTTGACTCCTGGAGTGAATACTGCTGAAGACCCACCCAGACCCTCTTTGGGTGTCTTTGGGTGTGTCACTGGGCTGATAGAGCCAAGTCCCAGTGGCCTTCAGTTTGGCTAAGGGTCCACAGCTGCCCTCTTCTCAGCTGAGCTGCCCTCTACTGACAAGGCACCCAAGCTTCACTGGGAAGTTACATCACACAGTCAATGACTGATTGAGATGGGCCCCTAAAGCCACAACCCACCCCTGGCCTCAAAGGGAAACTACCTTCATGGTGCCCCAGAACACCCTTCGTGATCAGAATGTAGCCATTCTCTAGCTAAGACCACATTCTCGCTGAACTTTCTTCACCTGCCGCATCCTGCTCTCCCCATTCTCTCAATAAATCAATTTTATAAGAATCCCCATCTTATCTCAGGCCCTGCTTTTAGGGAGTCCACCTACTCCCTAAGACCCCTTCCTTCTTCCCCTACTCCAGCCACACTCCAGAAAATGGGTTTGTTCCCTAGAGCAACTGACCAGGGAGGATCCTGACTCAGGACCCTGAGTTTTAGTAGAGGGCAGGGAAAAGGTGAGGGGCTGTAAATGGGACTTATGTGGAATCCTACAGCCTGAACTGATGAGACCTCAGCCTCTCTCCTCTGCCTGCTCTGAAAGGCTAGAAGTTCTATACCCTGTCAG